GTTAACGCCATTGGCCGATATTTACAGTAACAGCCATGTTGTTTGACGTCATTGAAGGATTCCCACTTTGTCAGTCATGGTGGCAACACAACCGCACGACGGCAGCCTGCCGACTCGGACTATTTTCTTTGCAACTTGCAGAACTGTTCGGTTCAGTTGTCTATGATTGTGCAGCACCCTTTTTCCGCTCAGATTGATTCTGATGCTGTACACTACGTAAACTGAGAAGAAGAAGACTAAGAGTAGGCCTATGTACGAGAAAGCAAATTCAAGCAAAGTTCAATAACGCAGTGCAAATGATCGACCGTTTCGATCTGGATCGTTTCTTTTAAAGTTTTGTTAGCCCAAGAAATTAAGCACTTACTAGAGATGGGACTCAATAGGATGCTGAGCTGCAAATGGAGTAGATATAATTTGAGACTGCAAGGTTTGCAAATGGATACTGTGAGGTGCAAATCAGTGTACTAGGGGTTAACCACTGGCACTAGGAAAGACTCCAAGAGGGAAGGCAATTTAAGGGGAAGGCGGGGGAAGGGGGCTGCTGGTGGGGGGAAGATGAAGGGACAGAAAGCAGGGGAAGAAGAGGGGCAGGGTGGAGGGTTGATGTAAAGGGGGATGGGGGGCATAAAAAAGGAGAAAATATAATAATATTTGTAATATGCTGAAGGAGCTTGGAAACTGCTGGTGTTGGAACGCAAGGTGGAAACTGCTGAAGGAGCTTGGAAACTGCCAATGCAAACCGCGCGCTACACAAAATTATCACTATTTTAAAAATCACAATTAGATGAAGTGGGGGCATCCCCCTTGCGAGGTCAAACAAGTTGGCTGTTACCATAAATATCGGCCAATAGCGTTTAGTTGTTCTCTAGCTATTCGCTTGTAGAACAACCAAGTTGAGTTGACCTTGGCGCGGGCAAAGTTAATCATGGCGACCAGTGAGATTGCACGTAGGGATCATGCACTCTCGGCTTGCTGGGAGAAGAGGTGTTGGGAAGGGGCCACGGCTGTCAATTTTGTGCGATGTGATTAAAAAATAAATTAATTACCGAAAAACTATAACACACATCAAAATGAAATTTAACATGTAGAAAGACAAATATGGTGGTGGGAAGTAATGATGATACTGTAGTGGTGGTGTAAAAACCCTGAATTGTCGGTTACCGTGTACGTAGACACTGCCATTGGGCAATGTCGAGAGTGCAGTCTTTTGTCTTTTGATACAATTACACCGTCCTTGTAGGTAAGTCTAGTTCCAATTCTGGTTTTCCTTTTAAAATCCCCCGACGACAGTTATTTTATGTAACCTCTTTACATTAACATGACTCCGGTAGAAACCGAGTCTGAATAAATAAAACATATTTTTCGGAGCCGAGTCTGAAGAGATTTAACTCTTTCACCATGACCGGGCCCTCTCTGTGACCTACTTTCTGATTCTGCCTACCATCCGAGAAATTAAAGATTTTTAAAAGTTCAATTTTCAATATTAGCCACATGTATTATACCCGGAAACAAAGGGGAAATAAGGACCTATCTCAACATGCTACTAAAAACGATCATTCTTCAGCCTAAGATTTCAGATTTATTACAAAAGTAGGTGTGGTTTTGAAGCCGGAAGTGGAGAGCTGTGAAACATGGCTCACGATCCAGGGCTATGGGTAACACGAGATAGAGATGATTTGGACAAGGCAGGGGGACCCATGTTCTTGGCAGTGGATTGCTATTTTCACACATTGGGTGCACATTATTACTTGCATGCTGTCAATGTGTTCAATTCAGTTTGATCACAGACATTGCCCTTGTTATTTGACGCTTGCTATAAGCTCTGTATTCCTTGTCTGCAACACAGATGAAAGCAAAGTGTATCATGTACAAATATTATGACTGTAAAATGGAGGTTTTGTCCTTCTGGAGGAAACAGAACTTCAGTTTTTATAAAATCCAAGCTGCTGTGGGATTGAAATGGCTCAAGGAATTGTTTTTATAATGACACTATTTTCCAATATCATTCCAGTGAAGGTATTCTTTCTTTCTTCTTCTTCTCACAGCTTTGACATGGTGCATTTTGGACACGCAAATGCTTTGCGACAGGTAAGTTTTGAGTTAAGGTTAAGATTGTTATATTATAACCAATTCCTAAAGTCTGCCATATGATCATTGATGTCTGTGTGGTTTGAGAAAAGTTATACAATTTTTAAATGGTCTTTTACATACTCAATTTGTTTATTGTAAGTAGCCTATTTAGAGGGAATACGTATGTAAATGTATGATAATGATACACAGAACAGAATTTCTTGATTCAGCACAGATAACCTCATGTTGAAATTGAAAATGATAATATTGTTGTAATAAAAGTCAGGAAATGTTATATTTTAGAACCGATTTCTTTTAACGTTTCTAATTCTGATTTTTAAACTATTGAGAAGTTTATTTCAAATGCTCTGTCATACGTCAATTTTCAGAATGGCATAGGCTGGAGTGTTACACGAAGCAGATATTTTTGTTTACTTGATCGATGTGGAAAAAAGTGTGCTAAAGTTAAAGTAAGGCTTTGCTCGTACATATAACATTAAAGATGATTCAGTATCCGAGATGGCAACACATTTGTGTTAATTGTTGTGTAAGGGTAGGATAACTGTTGATTTTGATTTTGTTGAGTAAAGTTGTAAGTTGGACAAGGCACATTGAATGAAGAGCATTCTCAAATCTTTGCTAATGTTTACAGGGCAAAGAATTCGGAGACAAACTCTTGGTAGGAGTTCATTCAGATGGTGAGTTTGTTGTATGATTCCCCCCCCCCAATTTTTTTTTCTTCACTCATTGCTCATATGTGTTTGATGTTGCTGCAGTTTTTAATTGACACTGAGACCATTATTATCTGTATACCCGTGATTAGTATGCTGGTATTATGTTTTCATTTTTGTTTTCCAATTTTATTTTCATTTTCTGTGTTTCCGTACCAATTTTATTGTGACTACTACATCTGTTGTCGTTGTCTTTATGTTTTACAAAAGCATGTGCTGCTTTTCAGACTTCAGAAAATCAGGTTTTTAACGTTAACTGAACCCCCCCTCCAGAGCTACAACCTTCCCAACTAGTGAGTGTAGTAGTTGCTATTTTAAAAAAGACAACATATTTTCCAGTTAAAGCCACTTTTGATCTCATTACAACTTTAGTGATAATGGTGTGTTTAATTGTGGATCAAGGGCTTGTCCTCTCAGCCCATGCCCTTATCTCTGTCAGAAAAAAAGAGTTCTTTATTTTTACATTTATGTGGACGTTTTAGTTTACTAATTGCTCGTGCGCTCATATGACCTTAGCAGTTGCGAGCGCCGTAAAACCTTATACTATACATACTAATTGCTCTTGTCTTCAGCTGCTGTTACTAATATCCTCATATTCTTTGTTCCTAATCTATTGTAGTAAAAAAAGGTTTTGAACAGGCTACATTGTGTCACAGTGATAAGATGCGCCACTTTTTTCTTTGCTTCAGCTGAAGTGAGCAAGCACAAAGGCCCACCCGTGTACTCAGATGAGGAGCGTTACAAGATGGTTAGGGCTATCAAATGGGTGGATGAGGTAAGTACTTCTGTTTGACATGGAAAGTAATGACATTGTAACGATTTTGAAAATGACTACGAATTTATACTCCCCATTGGTTATTCTACACTGTTGTCCAAGCCAGTGTCCTTACAAATGATATTGCAATGCCATGCTTCATGTGTAAATTCCAAAAGAAAGTGAAACTTTGAATTTTTTTTTTTTTAAATTGTGAAAAGAGTTCAAACACAGAGATATTTCCTCTTTAGTATGCCGTCCTTAAAATAAAAAATACCTGGGAAAAGATCTACTTTATAGTTAAGAAATCCTTTTAAAACATTTATTTACAATCAAATTTTTTTTAGACTTGCCCAATGTCAAGGAGAAAAGTAGTTGCCTTAGACAGGTGGATGTCTTAGACAGTGTTGGTGTAATGTAAAAACTACACAAGGGAGAAAATGGGAAGTGGTGATTGTCTTATACAAGTGACCGTTAGAGCAGGATTGACTATATTTTTAAAAAACGCAAACAATAATCCTTATTACCAATTTGGCTGTAGGTTTATGAAACTGTTCCTGACATTAGCCTGTGTTCATTTCAGGTGGTTGAAGATGCACCGTATGTGACAACTCTAGAGACTTTGGATGAATATGGCTGTGACTTCTGTGTGCATGGAGGTAGGAACACGTTGAAAGTACACTGTAACGGTGCAGTGTGTGGGCTTTGTGTTTATTCAAACAGTGGTTCCCCAATCTTCCGTATTTTAACGGAAATTCATACTTTCTGAGTGTTCCATTCTTGCTCACCAATCATGATCAACTTCATCCGTAAAAAAGTGTGATTGCTTATGGCTATTGAAATTCCATGGCAAAGGATCTTTACTCGCCTTTTGTATGGTCTTGTATAAGTTATGGATATTTGCGGTAACTCTCTCGGAAAAGGGTTAATGTTGTAGAAACCTGCCAGATTGCACATTTCCTGCAATCAGCCTTCATCCCGTTATGCATTCATTGCAGGTTGGTCGACAATACATTTTTGCCTGCAAATTGATGAAAATCTGGTTATCCATGATAGCAAGGGTTTTGTGCCAATTTCCTCCTTTCTTTCATTCTTTCTGTCTATCTTCGGATTGTTGCCACCACTGGAAAATCCGTGCGTTGATCAAGTCCATTGACTTATGATTTTGACAGAAAATCACTGTCAGAAAGAAACTTTTTTGGCAAATTTGTCTAGATCTAGAACAATTCTAGAGTGTGATGATTCTACAGGAGCATAAGGGCTGTGGTGAAGGAAATGTATGTTAAAACTTACTAAAATCAAGAATGATTCCAAGTGGTATTCCCAGGTTGAGACATTCAGCATTCGAACGTTAGAATGGAGGAAAATTAGTGTATACGCTGGGTAACTAATTGAATTATAAATTATAGTGCTTAGCAATGGCAAGGGGAACCTGCTTTTAAACATTGCCAGCAATGGAAAGATTTGCAGGTGGAGAAATCAAACAAGACAAAATCTTGGTGAAAAAAATAGGTGTTTTTGGTTGTTGGCAATCTCTTCAAACAGGCTCCCAAGTGCCGTTTTTAACCTTGTCCGTACGTCATGTTTTACTATCGTATCCATACGACGTGGGGAACTCTGTGCCACCACTTTCCAAAGAGGAAATTTGCTAGTTAATCCAATCTGTATGCTTTGCATAGAAGTCTGTCAAAATAATTTTTTGAGAAATACTCAGTGCTTCCAGTCTTCCGCAATTTTGCGGATTTCCGCATATTACCAGAATTCCGCAAATGGAAAAATTTGCGTGAAAATTTGTGCCAAAAAAAAAAAGGAAAAATAATTTTTTAAAAATAATGCAAAATAAAAAATGTCTGTAATTACTAATAGTCAACAATAGTCTACCCATACAAGAAGTGCTCTTTTATCTGTAAACAAGAGGAAGAAATAACGATTGTGGTTCAATAGATCTTGGGCCTGCCAAGAAAAGAAAACTCGGATGAGAGCCTGGCTATTTTTTTATCAGACTTGTCAATGTTGTTGTGGATTTAAGTTGAATATATGTTGTCAAGTTATTTAGATCTAGATCTAGCTGTTATACTATTATTATAAGGATTCTACACATTTTGGTGCAAACTAACACAAGTAGAAAAAAGTTGAACATTAACTGTCAAGTTTTATAGATCTAGCTGTTATTCTACTGTTGTGGATGTACAGTATCGGTACAAGTGAGAAAGCATGGCTTTGGATTTGGATTTATATGGATTAACACAAGCAGAAAATTATGTATGCAAGGTCTCAAACATAAGGACGCTGTCCCCCTTTAACCCGTTGCCCTGGACCCTAAAATCCTTGAACAGTGACATCAGCTGCTGGAAGCTCTGAATACTGAAAGTTTCAAAGAGATTTTCGAACTAGAAGTATTCTAAAATGTGAAGAATTTACCCCGGGGGTACAAAATAATCCCAGGGCGTATGGATAGGGTTAACCCTCTAAAAGCACTCAATTTCTTTTTTTCGGGGGCGGACCCCCTGGACCCTGTTGAGGGCCTATGCGCCATCCAGACCCCTGGCAGAATTTTCCTTACTTTTCAGCTTCAGCTAATGGAAACACTGATCAAATGAAACTATGCGACACATATGTTGGGTTTTTGCTCTCTGTTTCCTCTTTCTGTTTTTTTTGCATGTAAAACAGAAATTTATTTATAATGTTCACAGATGACATCACAACAACAGCTGATGGACAAGACACTTATCATCTCGTCAAGGATGCTGAGAGATACAAGTAATTTGAGCTTTTTTTCAGATGTGACATAATTTAAAACTCAAACATGAAGACTAATTAAAGCCGTTATTTGAGGATAAAAGGGGGAGAGGGGATATGATTAATGTCATGTCCCGCATGTGTGACCTTATGACTAAGACTGGTAATAGTAGGAGTATGTGCTGTTTGATCTGAGATCAACAGTTAATGTGATTGATTGTAAAATGATTGGCCCCCGTCAATACAAATTTGATCATTAAGGAGGTAGGCTCCTTAATCCAAGCCGGCCAGGGCCCACTGGAGATATAGTGAAATAGTTTCCCACTAGACAGAGATACCCAATAAAGTTAATCTCCCCCATGGTGAATCAATCTGGTGTCTTCTGTACAGTTGATGTGCTTAATGTTTTAGTCAGATAAAAATTTTGTAAAAGATTTTTTAAAGTTTGTCACAGATGATGACATTCCTGTGTCCTTAATGACCTTGGTATGCGCACCTCGCGACCTCAGGGCTTTCTTGTCCTATCTCCTTTTATTTTAACATTGAAAATGTGACATCTTTTTTCCACTCTTTGCTGTGAACTGTTTTCACTGTTATTAAAAATAGAGATATGACAAGAAAGCAGAGAGGCGGCGAGGTGGCGACCTCTGTATATCTAATGTTTAGAGTCGCTCATAAAAGAGAAATAATTCAATGTGTGTAGCACAATCGGACCTGCGCTATAAGCCACCTGTATGAGATAATCACCTGTTCAAACAGCCACTTTCTATTTCCCCCTTGCATATTTTTTAAACATTAAAATGAGATGGCCACCTGTCGAAGTTAACTACTTTGCTCCTCGACTATGTGTGGCCCTCTTAGACAATTTGACTGTATTTTGATTTGTTTAAGAAGCTATTGATCTTTTTGATGCAGTTGAATTTGACCAGGTATCTTGCCATCAGGTGAATGTTTTTTCATTGTCTTACCATGTTTACTTTTATTTTCAGAGAGTGCAAAAGGACAGCAGGGGTATCCACCACAGATTTGGTCGGAAGGTAAAACTTGTTTTTAAAAAGTTTAATTTATCCCTTTATCTTTTCTTACTTGCATTTTGTGTCTTATTTGATGAGATGCTTGTTATTATACAATGGGCTTGCTTGCTTTGTGTGCTCTGATGTGTAAAACACTGAATGGACAGAAGCAGTAAAGAATATTGTGAGAGGAGGCATAATTCATAAAATTACTTTGGGGTTCTTGCCATACAAACATTCTGCACGTTTCATGATTTAGAGAAAAACTGAAAAAACCCACAATTAATGCTGTAAAATGCTGAATGGCTTGATAAAATCACAAAAAGGTTGCATTTAAAGCCTCATCACAAGAAATTTACTTTGGACATTTCTGGCAAAGACCCTTGTTCAACAAACCCACACTTGTGTAGTCCCTAAGAACACACACACATAAAAAAAACACCCAACCACATTCCTCCTCACCCCCAGGTTTGTTTGAGTAAAGAGAAGCATGTCAGTGTAGTAATGGACCTTGTCTTAAAATGTATTCTGCAGAATGTTGTTAATGACCAAGACTCACCATCAGCGGGACGAGGGCTCTGTGGACTCCCAGCACGTGGGAGCAATCAGCAAGGTCAGTTGAGTTCAATGTCAAATGGTATAGATGAAAATGCTTGTCTCTGTGCCGCACTGTGCCGTACCTTTCGTCTTCCTGCATTGGGCATGCCTGTGATTGAAATGCATGTGATCGTTCCCCGCACTGTGTGCCTCTGTGTCTGGCTTGTATTTACATTTACGTGGACATGTTGCGGTGAGCGAAATAAAGCGATGCATTCAAAGTTACGTGCGTAGCTGGACCTGAACTTTAGTGTTCTTATGCTTTCATTCTTCATACACAGGTTCACATAGAATCTCAAAGAGGAATATGTTATACATGAAATATATTTCACTCTAGTTGTTTTCCAGGATCGTTTTCCGTCTCGTGTTGCTCATTTAGAGTTGAAATTTATGTTCCCATCATCTTGGTAATGAATTTGGAGTAGTGTTGAACACACACATACTTGCAAAATTCTTTTTTTCCCACTGCTTTTCTAGTTGACCTCTTGCATTCAAAGACAAGTATATGAATGCGTGGTGCATGCATGCGCGCGTGCGCGCTCACACACACACACACACACACACACACACACACACACACACACACACACACACACACACACACACACACACACACACACACATACATACACACACACTTAAGCACACACATACACACACACACACTCTCTCTCTCTTTCTCTCTCTCTGTCTCTCTCTCTCTCTCTCTGTCTCTCTCTCTCTCTCTCTCTCTCTCTCTCTCTCTCTCTCTCTCTCTCTCTCTCTCTCTCCCCCCAAACACAACATGTGAGTCCTTCCAAATGCAAACACACTCACACACTTACATGCTCACTCAATGTACAATATTTAAAGCAGACCATCACTCCGACCCATTCACTATTGTTCACTTGCATGTTACAGCGTCACTCTATTATCATGTAGAGAATTGGTCGTACCTTGCATGAGCGTGCGCCCCCCCCCCCCCCCTCCCCCTCCTCACATGTGCCATCTGCATGTTTTCTATAATTGATTCCCTCTCTACGGTTGAACTGTCTGAACTTGTGCTTTGAAAATTGTTGCTGTTCATTTTGAAATGATTGTCTAATCGTGTATTTATTTCTAGTTTTCATTCATTCATATACTGATGAAAGCTCATGTGTTGGGGGGTAATTTTTGGCTTTCACATTGTGGATTTCAGATGTTTACTGGAGAAGTGAGTGTTAGCCGACTTTGTGTGATGACCTCTGTTTTGTCGTGGTGATGTTTTCCTTTCTCCTTTGACCTTGTTGGTTTGAAGTGAAGTGGGTTTTTTGTTTTTTTCCAACTGTGACATCCTCACCATCACTTAACGCACAAGAAGTATGTTAAAGCTGTTATTGTCCTTCCCAGCGTTCTACTGGGTGACAAATGTAGGCTGTTTAGTCGGTCTAATATATATAATTTAACTTTGGATTTGTGACATTTCAAGCAGTGATCTATAAATTCAAAGCTGCCCCACACTGCTTCTGTTTAAAATTAGGGTAGATAGAGGAACGTTTGAGTGAAGTGGAGAGACTGTTAGTCTGACTTGTTTTTATTATAGAAATTCTTTTTCTCTTTTTGAATTTGTGATTTTAGTTGAATTTTTTTTCTCCTTTATTTCCCCTTTCCCTTTTCGGGTAACTGGTATATATCATAGGGAAAATTCAACATATAATCAAACAGTGTCTATTATTTTTCCTCTGTACTTAATTTTACTTTTTGTTCTTGAATTTGTGGGCTTTTGAAGTTGTCTCTAGATTAAAATCAAGTGTTATGTCGTTTTCTGGAAATGTTTTTACAGCGTGTGATTAATCTTTGAACCCAGTACAATTCACATGCAGCAGTTTTGTAAACAAATATAAAAACAAGAGGGAAAATTTGTACAAATCTTTGTCTTAATTTGAAGCCAAGGTACAAGTTCAGTAAATGATGTCTGTGTTTTTTCTTATGCAGTCCATGGCATTTAAAAGATATGTCACTTTGAGATTTTTGTCTGGCACTCACAACCAAAGGCGGGAAAATATGTTGAACTTGCTGTGTTGATGTGATAGAAGCTACTAAAATATTCTAGGTGAGGTTTATGATTTCTCCTTCTCGCAAGGAAAGTGGGTGTCAGGACATTAGAATGATCAGAAGGAACAGGTTGATTAGGTGTTTGGTTTTGTTGAAGTGAATATTGTTGTGTATAAGCAATGGGATGTTTTGTTTGGGAGAAAAGTGCTATTATTACATAGCATAGTATGAGTGTGCTGTAATGAGTTTTAAGTGAATAAAGCTCTGGTATTATGTGGAACACCTATATGTAATTGACTGAATAACAAAGCACCAATAAATTGACTGAATGACAAAGCACCAATACTACTTATTTCTTACAAACATAAATTACTGACTGAGCGTAAAAAAGCACCAGTGTTACATAATAATATATTTAATTTTCTCTTGAGAAAAGCTCTTATCATTCTTTTGCCAGAAAAATGAGTCACCCAAATGTTTTTTGCTCACCCCGTAAAGCAGGGTCGAATAGTGTTACTCATTTTCCTTGCTAAAATGATCTTGAACCGTGAAATGAACCCCACCCCTCCCAGTTAGCTATGCCAGTATACCATGGGTCAGCTAGTTTTGTGCTTTCCTGAGCTTATTGTGTGGTGTGTGCACCAAGTTCTATGAGTCTTTCAGTTCCTTTTGGGAATTGAATAGACCAGAATTTTTGTCTTTCCAATGGCTTTTTTTTTGCCTGGTCTGTCAATATCTACATGCATCTTAAATTTCAGAAAAACAGAAAGTTTCCTGGTGCTTTTCTGTTTGCTCCCTCTCCCCTCTTTCAATTTATCACTTTATCCGCTTCCCTTGATGATAAGTGGTCCTGTTAAGTTTCCTCCTTTTTACCTTTTCATAATCCAACCCCTGTATTCATGCAGTCTCTTATAAACAGCCCATACAGTTGAAAGACTGTGAATTATAGACTTAACTATGAAGCAGGTGAACTTAAGTAAATGGAAGAATGATATATTATGTCTACCAGTGTCTGTGGTGTAGCGGTAAGGTACTTCACTGTCGCATGCAAGAGATCCGAATTCGATTCCAGAGTGGGCAGGAACATTTTTATCAAGTATCCCAATCTTTTTCCTGGAATTTATCCTTTTCAGCCAAGTTTGACCCTGACAAGCAGGGTGGGAATCCTGCCTCGTAAATTGTGCTGATGGGGGTGTAAAAACGCCTACATTACAAAAAGAATATACATATGGCCAGTTTTTTTGTTAATTGCAACTCAAAAGATGATCCTTACATTTTGAGAAAAAGCAAGTTCTGCAAGTGGATCAGTATACATTTTTTTTTAGTTGATACTGGGAAATTGTAATGAAGGTGAACTGTGTATTTGAAAGGATTAAATAGATATGATTCATACTCAGGAAACAAACACGGGTGTGCAGATAGAAGAGGTGACAAAACCTGCTGAGAAGGTAATTTCTGGAATCGTATGATTTTTCTCTTGGACTTGCGCCCAATCCCTTCTTAGGGCAAGTGTTATACATTTTTACTCTCTCAACTGTTTTCTTGCGCTTGATACCTTATCCAGAAAAGTGTGGAACAGTTTTAATCAGTGCTAATTAACTAATCAAATCGAGAATGTTTATTTGTAACGCATTATTCCAATGTACTAGTAGTCCTCAATAGCTTATATTATACCTCTTACGTTATCTTTATAACACATTGAGGATATCATTGTAGAAAAATTTAATACCAGCCTCAGTTACTCATTCAGTGTTTTCAGGGTATATCTTTCTCATGTCTTGTGTTGTTTTTTTCCAGAATGAATTTCATGATTGTAGCCAAGATTTATCGAGACAAAATATAATAGATTGAAATTATTTATTGCTTTACACTTTTAAGGAAAAATTAAAGGAGAGTGGACATCAAGCGGGTGGCTGGAGGGTGCCATAAGAAGTTCTACTTCTTTACTTTCCCTCTGCTGTTTCTGTCTCTCTGTCTTTTTTTTTCTCAGCACTAAATAACCATTATTGTGTTTTGTACTTCTCCTTACTCAACAAACAAGTAGAATTAGACATTGTAGGGTCTAGAGAAGAAGAGTAAACTTTCGTTTAGGTGCTTTCAAATGTTGCGGGTAGGGTGTTCGTCAAATGTGTCTCTGTTGTGAAGTTCCCTGTCGTAGGCTTCTAATAGTTGTGTTTTTGTTTAGTTGGCCAGAAGGCTTTCTGGTGTTGCACACATGGTTTTTAAAATTATTTGTTTTGTTCCTCATCCATTGGAGCAGTGGTGGCACACACTAAAGATTTATTATGGCTGTTCAGTAAATGCTAGAGAAAGGAGTAAATGACTAAATGAGTACTATATAGTTGTGCTGTGAAGGCCGAACCAAGCATTGTCACTTGTGCTTTTCATAAAGAAGATTGAGAGACATCAGCAACAAGGGAAAAACATGTGTGACAAAGTAGAAGTGCAAATATTCTGAGGGAGATAGTGACCTGTTATCATCACACGTGGGCTTTTTGGCAATGCACGTCTTCTGAGCAAGTGGATGGAGGGCGCCTTTGTCAGGTTTTACTTCCTTTCTTTCTCTCTATTGTTTCTGTCTGTCTGTCTGTCTTCCTTTTTCCCAGAAAGCACTAATGTCCATTATTGTATCAAATTGCTTCTCTTTATTCAAACAAACGCGCATGTTCTGAAGATTGTTGTAGATGCTGTGAATACCGTTTTTGCAAAATGTGCAGACACCAGATCTTGGTCCATGCCTATGGTTAGATTCTTTTATTATGATGGCCCATTGCTGGTTAAAATAACCCTCTTAAAACTTAGTTTTTTTCTTGGCTACACAGCAATGTTATTGAAATGGGACACTCATTACGCTAAGGATGTGTCACAGTTTGTTAACTCTTATAACTCAAGGCTCACTTTTCCACACCCGTTCAGTGATCAATGTATTTTGTAAAGTGTGAATGTTTCACCATGTTTAAGAGGATTAGAAGCAAAGTGAATAGTCAGTCCACTTCCTTTTGGATATATGTGTTCCAAGATATTGTGTATTTTCTAAATGAAGATACTTTTGCTGGTTTTGTCATCATATTAAATATAAAAGCTTAGACTAATTCCCAGAGGGCTTGATATTATCATTATATAAACCAACATTTTTGTACCTTTTTTTGTCATCTGGTAACCTGTATGACTTTTATTTTGTGTGTGTCCATATCTCCTTAGTAAGCAGGTTTTTGGAGTACTTTTAGAGTCAGTCGAAACTCGTGATGATTAGTGCCTGATTGTTTTTATATTTTTTATGCTTAAAAATCTATTTTTTTCTGTCTGGGGCTAGTGATTCAGGTTCGGAATCATATCTGTCGTGCTTCTACTTGTCTCTGGATTTACAATTTATTCCAGCTCTCTTTAAACCGATATACTTGGTCTTTGTTGTATAATGTAGTGTAATCCATGCCATTGCAGGCAGAGGACGTGAGTTTGATTCCTAAGTATGGAAGTTGATTTTATAGAGCATCTCCTTTTTTTCTGCTACGATGCTGTATTCCCACTCAGCCTTACTTGGCTCTGTCAGGCATGGTCAAAACAAAGTAGCTGGTCTTCTGTATTATCTTGTTTGTGTCTTTGGGGCCGTTACACATGTACACCATACAGTCAGTAGCAGCGTGTAATTCAGGGAAATGGAGGATCACTGTTGTGTGGACAACATTAAAATCTGATACAAGATTTGGATTCCATGACCCTAGTTCCTTATGAAAACCATATTTGCCTGCCTAAGCCTGAGAATTTCCAAATTTTGTTGACCAGAATCGTTAAATGAGCCTGTACAGACTAGACACGATAGCAAAAAATTAATTAGAAATTGCTGGTATCTGGGTACAATGCAGACTTAACTTTTGAGTTACTCCTTCATTTTGACTCTCTGTATGCCTCACACTCCATATTTCTGGCCCCTGTTATGAAGAGTATTATAATGCATAGCATTGACTTTATTTACTGCAACAAGTACATGACCAAATTCTTTGATATTTAAGAAGTTGATGCTCAATATTGTTGTGGGGGTTTTGTGTCAGACTTAATTTTTTGGCTCTTTAATTTTCTTTCTGTAAATATTGACAAAGTATAGTTAAGTCATATTCTTACAGCATTGTTGGAGTATGTGGTCGAGAGATCACCTGTGTGAGGTTCAAGGGTAGACAGGAAGTATAAAGTAGAATGTAACACAAAAGGCCCGGTTACACGTCAGGATAATTTGTGTCAGATTCGTCATAATATGTCCTTTTTATCAGGCTGTGTAGTCTGTTTAGACGTTCCAATCTATCGTCCTGTTTTCTTTTGATCAGGGAGATTCCTAGTCATTGACTTGACTGCAGATGTGCAACGCACCGGGTGACCTTGATACACAACTTCACCATTGACGATCAAATATATTTATATAAAATTGCTAAAATTTACATAGTAACGCCTCAAATCAGGTTCCCCTCGAGCAACTTTGCTTATTTTGAGACGCTGATTAGGAACATGAAATCAGTTTTTACCTGAGATAATTAAAAAAAAAATTTTGAGCCCTAAGTTTAATCCTGCGCGGCGGCATATTTCAGAGTGTTTCTACATCACAGCGTATCTCCCCCAAATCTGACCGTGATTGCACGAAAAAATATCGAGCAGCACTTGATTTCTCGATCGAGTCTCCAACCATCGTCCAATAGTCCAAACTTTGTACAGTTTTGTGGTTACACCTGACGATTTGTCTCGTGATCAATAGATTGTCCAGTTTTTATACAATTTATTGTTGCGTGTAACCAGGCCAAAAGAGATTTTTTAATTAGCCAAATGTGAACTTTTCTTCTGGCTGACACAGAACACTCACTGTAGAGCATCGGCACTTGCTTGCTTATTAGCTCAGTATCAGTAGAAATTGTCCCTTACATGTTAAGTTCACATATTCCTTCTTCTTATGCTCAAACCAAAATTTCTGTGTTTTATTAACCCGAATGGCGATAAACAGAAAAATATCCCCTTAATGGTTTTTTTGGGAAAACATATTAAACTGGAGTTTATGCCATCACACATTAAGTGTTTATATGAATTTTCTTGCGTTAACTTTAATGTAGATGTGTTTTGTGCCTTTTAGCTCATGATAGTGGTTTTGCTTTTTTTGTTATTCTGTATTATTTTTATTGATATTTTGGTTTTTTGTTTATTATCACTTTAATCATTATTATTTTTGCTTTTATTGATGCCATTAGTAACGTTGTTATTATCATTATTATTCGAATTGCTATTGTTATTATAATAATTAAATAATTACTATTGTTACTATTATTATTATTATTATTGTTATTATTATTTTTGTTGTTAATGTTGTTGTCATTGTTATTATTATAATCATTTTTATTATTATTATTACTATTTTTATTACTATCATTAGTATCATCATCTTTATTTTATGGTTATGTTTACAAGATTACTGTCATCATCTCTATGTATATGAATAATTGAATAATGAACTTTATCCTGTTCCTTTCCAGGGCCCCAGCATGCACAGCCCATGGACGGGCGTGTCTCAGTTCTTGACGACCACCAAGAAAATCATTCAGTTCTCGGAGGGGAGGGAACCCAATCCCGGAGATAAGATTGTCTACGTGGATGGGGCTTTTGACCTTTTCCGTATCCTTTGAAGTTGATCTGATCTTGGAAGAAAGAAAGAGAGAGATGGAGATACACTGTTGTTTTTTTCTTTATCATTTGCCTGCTGATTGGTCAGATCTCAATATTTAGTTTTTGACCACTGAATGGAAGTAACCTTTTCACAATTTTTTTCTCCCTTTTAAAAAAAATGTAGGTGTGGTTTACATCCATTTCAACACAATGTTGATAATTTAGGAGGTGGGCTTAGATTTTGTCTACTGGAGCCAGCCAGGGCCTAGAGGGATACAACATCCCTGCAGAAAGTTGGAGATCTTCGATAAAAATTCTCCTCGTGCAGGAATCGGACTCAGGTCTTCTGCATGAGAATCAGATAAGGAAGCATCTAATTGCTGTACCATAGATGTCGGTCCAGTAACCTTAACTTTTACTTTTACTGAATTATTTACAGAGGCACCAGTCATCATTGTTTAGGCGCTGTTTGATAGTCTTGTGTCTAGTTTTCCTTGTATGTTAATGAGATAATTGTAAGTCACCAGACATGCAAGTCTTGTTTCCTGTGTTGTGTAGCTTGTGGCAGTGTATGTTTGTCTTGGTTTTATAGAACTAATAGAACAAATATTTGTTTTCTGCTGGTGTTTGATGGACCATATTGTCTGATCCTTATATTCTTCTTTGTGGCTGGTTGGAAGGTGCCTCATGTAGGTCTCACTTCTTTTCTTTTCCTTTGTTTCTATCTTGTGTTTTCTCTGCACTAAGTGGCCAGTATCGGGTGCTTGTTCTTCTCATTGCTCAAACTCATAAAAATTCTACTTCTTTTCAGTGTTACTATGCGGATGGAGTTGGAGGGTGCCATTGATAGGTCTTATTTTTTTCTTTCCCTATATTGTTTCTGTCTTGCTTCTTCCCCACACCTAATGACCGTTAATGTGTCGAAGTGCTTCTGTTTACTCGGTGTTACCAAGTTACAATCATCTATTGTTGGCAGAATGGTGACTTTATCATGTTGCATGGTCCTAAACAATTCACCTCAACTCTACTTCGATATTGCGCTGTCAAGTTTTTGTTCCCTTTTTATTCTTATTTCCTGCAAGGTCTACTTTTTGTTCTTTTTATTTTTTGTCTTCTGTCAATGGGTTGTGCAGTTTGTAACCATGTCCCAGTATTGTCCTTGACATTTGTTTAGATGTGGGTCACCTTGACTTCCTGGAGAAAGCTGCTCAGCAAGGTGACTTCCTCATTGTTGGTCTTCACACCGATCCAGTAAGTCCAGTTTGGATGGTGACTCAAATTGCATTGTTCAGAGCTTAATATGTGTATTTGATTGATCCTGATAAAACCTGAAGAATAAATAACATTAGAAAAACGATAACTTTTGTTCCGTAGAAAAGAGAAATTTGATTACAGCAATTGCTCATCATTGATATAGTGACTGCTAGATTGTTACAATGTTCTTTTCACTATCCTGTTTGTTTTTCTGGTCATCTGAGACGGATAGCCCTCTTGGACAGTGTCATAGTATTGAAAAAATGCTAGGGGGGTAGAGGTTGAGAAGTGGTCATTTGTACAGGTGATTGTCTTGGACAGGTGGTAGTAAGAGCAGGCCTGTCTGTAAATGGAAAGTCAAGTAATGATTGCCTCCACTGTAGTCATTGCTCTGAATTTGTAACCCTTTTTGGTTGCCACCTGGACAATATTTTATGTACTGATATAGGGCCAGAGTGGTACGTGCTCCCTCTTCTTTTCACTGATAATTAATGAGAGACTAGTCATTATTTTTCTCATTGTCAAATTTTTTTGTTTTTTTAATAGTTGACAGACAGTGAAAGGAAATAATTTTGTATTGTGCAAAACTTTGTTTGATCCATCTCCCAGGTGGTGAACCGTTACAAGGGCTCCAACTTCCCAATCATGAACCTGCATGAGAGGACGCTCAGTGTTTTGGCTTGCCGGGTGAGTCGAGGAACCTTCCAGGGAAACTTGCAAGACCAGAGCAAATTGCCGCTGTAGTTGCTGTTCAATTAAATTGATAAATGATGCCTAGTAACGTCATTATGTGAAAAACATTTGATATGTTTTTGAAGGTCTTAGGACGGAAGTTCATTTTTGTATAGGGGAAGATATGAATTCTGTTTTCTGGTAACGTTCCTCTGGAACTTGCTGATGCTGAAGAAAACATATGAACTTTCAAGACTGGATTTACTAATAATAATACTGAGAATGAAGCACATTTGGCCATTGGGAAGATATTTTGCTGCAGGTCTACTTTGAATAGCTTGAATTAATTGAATGCAGAAAAGTATAAAAAGGGTTTAGAGGGAAGTCACTTGGCCAATCCCAACCATCTTGACCTGCCATGTGGGTAGAGTCTATTATTTGGGTTTGAAAAGTTGGCAGCTGTGGATGATATAAGATAGGATGAGAGTTATCTTGAAAATTTCTTGCAGTTGCTGAAAGTGGCCTTTAAAAGCTCAGTACTCTTATCATTGCAAATATGTACAAGTTTTTCTCTCTCATTTTTTATTTTTGTTCAAGTTCAAGGTTGCAGGTGCAAATTTATCCATAGGGTAGTAATAATAAACCATTAACTGTATTTATATCCTCAGCATGTGTCAGAAGTGGTCATTGGAGCACCTTACGCTGTCACAAAAGACCTCTTGGAACATTTCAAAGTAAGTGCAAATGGCTTTCTTACCTTGTCACTTCACTAACTAGTATGTCAGAATAAAAGATACAATAAAATTATACTCGAATTAGGCAAATTGTTCTGTCTCAGTTGACAATAGCTTTTGTCTAAATTCTATGTTCTGTGATAATGATGTATGTGGCTTATTGGCCAATATAAGCCAGAAAAATTGTTGCAGTGAGTACATTGAAGAGACACATATATGTCCTTTGCTCAAAGATGTTAAAAAGATGTAGGTTTCACAGATGCATATACAAACACTCTCAAAATATCTTTGGCTGTTGATCTAGGCTAGATGAATGGTTGTTGGTATTAAAGTGGGCCCTTTTTTTTTAGCTTTCCCACTGTGGGATCTACTACCTGGTCACTATAAATTATGTTGTACTTCGGATACGATTACTATTTGATAAATGGTACAAATGCTTTCATCTATTTTCCTCAGGTTGATGTTGTCTGTCATGGCATGACCCCAGTGATGCCCGATGAGGATGGCACTGACCCCTATGCTGTGAGTTGTCAGTTTTAGTAATGTGTTGTTAATGAGTTTTCCTCATATTTGATAGATATTTAATTTACAACTCTTCAGAGAATCACTGCATTTATGGGGTTCCTGTGATATGACCTGTTGAATTCCAAGGACTTCTCAGTTGAATCAAACTAGGTTTGTGAAAAAAATATGGGGTTTCAATATTGAATGCTGCTGTATTGCACCAAGTATTAGGATTTTCATGTCCTCTGTGGGAAGTTGGGAAATCTATACTTATTTATTGTACTATCTCTTTATCTTTGTCCTTTGTAAGAATATTGTTTTTAACCCTTAGAGGCTGACTTATTTTCCCTTATATTTTCCCTCTGTGCTGAATTTATTTGGAAAAAACGCCAGATTTGCACATATGCTTTTTTTTTGCTAATAACTTTTTTATTTGTCAAAATTTTCTAACGAAGGTAGAATAAAAGTTTTAGAATATGGAAAGTTCTTTATAAATATGTGATGCAAAAAGTATTTTGTGAAGTTGTTGTTGTAGTCGTTGTGTTGGAAATAAAAACTGCTGGTTCATTAGATCTAGATCTAGATCTAGAATAGAGTCTAAATGCTTCGTAGGCCTACGTTATATTCCACAAAGTGTTAGCTCTAGCATCAAAATGGGCGGAACATCTTCATCTGAATCTGATGCGACACTATTTTCATGTTTGTCCCGGGTCACAGTCACGAATTTTCCAGCTTCACTGTCACTTGACTTTAACGTGCAACAAAAAACTCTTCGCACCTTGATCGAACCCCGTGACAAGAAAAATGGCGGGCGAAATCATTTTTGCGCAGCCTACCAGCCAGCAGTATAAAAATTAATGCTTCGTTCTTTTCGTACATCATGTTATACTATGCCAATGTCTATCGCGACCGTCGCAATCAGCGTTTTACGGGAGTTCGGGCCATTGGTCGCGATCAGCGCTCTAAGGGTTAACAAAAAAAGGGGGGGGGGGGGTAAACTCTTCTATTCTTTTCTCCAGTCCAGTGTAATGTAATTTCTGTTTAGCTGTCATGTTTCTGATTCTTGAATATTCATTGGGAAATGATTGATGTACTTTGGGTTTTTGTTTTAAAAGATTCAATGGGAAGATAAAAATATGACTGACATTCTCGTTTTTAAATTGTCAGCGCACCATATGTTTTAATATATATATATGGCTTGCTGGTATGGACAGATAATGTGAAAGTGTGATGAATGTATTCCTCATATGATAGCCTTTCATTCCTCTCTTCTTGAGAGGTAGATCATTGAGGAAGGCATGGTGACTGATAAAATTGAGGTTGTTTTTAAAGTGCAAAGTTTTCCCAATAGATATTTCTTCTTGTACTGATAAAAAAAAAGAATTGCTTTCTTGCGGTTTCTGGTTGAATTTTATTTGATGCCATTTGTATTTTTTCAATGGAGTTCACAAGTACCAGTAGTCTTGCTGTTCATATTTATTTTGTTTTGAAACATGTAAATTCTTTGCCTTCCAACTTCTCAAATTAAATGAAAAGTTATTGTGATTTCTTAGGAGGCTAAGCTTCAGGGCAAGTTTGTGGCCATTGACAGCAAGAACAAGTTGACCACTAAAACGATTATCGAGAGAATCATCACACACAGGTAAGAATGTGTTAGAAAAGGAGATAAGAGTTGTGATAAGCTTCAATTTCGAGTCTGCCCAAGGCTATTTTCATAACTATTTTACGCATTCCTGGTGAATGCTGGGTTCAAACGGACTCTGCCAAACTGATTTTTTCCCTCATGTTTTGTGTTGTGTGGTGGAGGCTTAAGCATGTGCTTTCTGCACCGTGGCCACTAGATGTATTGATATGAAACTTTTAAGAGAGAAAAGTACTGAATCATTTGTTTCATAGTTATTTAGTGGTATGTACAGTTCACCCATTTCTGTCTGGATCAACCAAAGTCGCCCGCTGCAGGAACCCTCCTTTACACCTAGATTGGCTATTGTTGCCCGATAGCTTTGTGCTCGTGACCAGAGACAATCAGGATTTTCCAGTAACAAATGATAAAAATAATCTCATTCGAGTGATGTCAGGTTGACTTTCAGTTTGGAGAGATTTTTGGTTTTTTCAAGATAGTTTTGGATTTTTTCCAGATAGTTTTGGATTTGCTGTTGGGCGCTAGGAAAAAAAATTGCTGCTTTTAGTACAGTGTCTGAAGCTTTCTTTCTGCAACTACTTGAACTTTTTTCTCCAGAGTCAAGCTGGATGGATATATATAGATATTATTGATCTCTTCCGTAATGGTGAATTTTATGGTTATCATAACAATGAAGGGGATTATTAAGTAAATCAAGGGCTAATGCGTGGTCAGATTAAAAAATTGGACGCTGATGAAGATTCAGAGCTAGATTTTGTTTTTGTGTCTCACATAATGCGTGGTCGGATTGAAAAATTTGACACTGATGAAGATTTAGACCTAGATTTTGTTTTTGAGTCAGACAGCAAGGATGAAGGAAAAGATGAAGATTGAACTAGAACTGATCAATAGTATGTCTTTATTAAAACTTTACTCTTTAATCTAGATTTTGGAGTTTATTTTCTGTTTTTTTCATGTGTTGTTGCTTTTGTGGACAATTATTCGAAAATGTTTGATTTATACAGAACTATGCATCTTCTCTGAGGGTGAAGGGGTAATTTTCCAAACAGGGCCTTGGGTGGGATTGAGTTAAATTTAGAATCTTGCTTTGGAATCCATTACATTATTGTAATTGTACAGTTTTCATGTATATTTGAACTGTGAATTTCATGATTGAAGTTTAAGACTGCTTGTGTGAGTACATTAAACAGGTTGTCAGTTTGTGTTTGTGTTTTGCACTTGCAGGCTTGAGTTTGAGGAACGCAATAAGAAGAAGGAAGAGAAGGAGATGAAGATCATGGAGCACTTAAAAAATGCCCAGAAGACCAAGACTGGCTAGATGAGTTCATCATGGCAGTTCTGCAGAGAGAGAACGGATGAGACTTAAGTGTCACTGTCATCTTCTGTGACTGTGGACTACCTCTAAAATGGTGGGCTTGGAGTTGTTACCGTAATGTCAACTTTACATTTTACTTGTACCAGTTGAATTGGTAAATGATTAAATGAGCTGAGGGATTTTTCCAATGGTACCTTGTTATGAAGTATACCAACATTTCTTCACAATGTACATATGTTATTGTATGCTGCTCAAACTGTGATAAATTCATACAAAATACCAGGGTTATTGTCCCCCCCTGTGGTTCTGGTATGTCTTATCTCATAAAAAAGTTTCCATTGTGGTAATCATTAACCCCTCAGACAGTTATGAAGGAAGTCACCAGAGGTAGACACCAACAGAGGATGACTATGATGTTTTCTCTTGTAGTTAGCATCTATTTATTTTACAATTTTCCTTAAGCTTTCCCCCTACCCAAAATTTCAGTTCCTATCCCTTTCTGAGGATCTGAGTTCAATCCTAGTATGTCTTCGTGTACCTGCAGACATGACTTGGTGTCTCTTTGAATTAAAAGTGTCTATATAGATGGATGTAAATAGCAGAAGGCTTGTGACCTGCCTGTTATAGACATTCAGAATTCTAGTGTATATATTATGTATACTCATGTAATTTTTATACACACAGGACATAATATATTATCTTTTAAATTAACTGTAATTACTTGAATAAGATGTTTGGAATTTTACATGATCACATATTATATGCTTTAAAAGCATGCTGGGATAAAATGATAGGGATAATATTATTATCAAGATGCTTTGGAAGAAAAAATGATCCAGTGTAGATGAAGGTACATGGGGAATGATAAATAAATTTGGGAAAGTGATGTGTGTGTGAGAGAGAGAAAGGATCAGAGGGAAGTCAAAAAAAAGAAAAAAAAAGAAAAAAGGAACAGTGTGAAAGATGTACTAAGAGCTGATAACACACAAAACAATTTCAGACAAAGAAGAGCAGATTGGCTGAATACTTAACACATTACACCCTAAGGGCCTGGATGGGAAGTCTATTCCTAGATCCTAAACAAGGGGACGGAACCCACCTCCCGTGAATACAAGCGTTTACAAAACACATTTCAAAACTACTTAAACAAATTCCAAAAATCCTGAACAAATGAAAGTTAAAAAGAAAAATGAATGTAGTTTCAGAAAAATATAACTTTACGTATGCGCAAACTGTTGGAAATGTTCTAACTTTAGTTAAATCGGGGTGTCCGACCCATCACTCTCACTCTCAGCTGCGCGGTTGGGCCCTAGATCTAAATTCTAGATTTTCTACATCAGATCAATCTGAATCCCCCCAAACTCTTGCTACAACATTTTCATAATAATCTGAGCCATCTGATTTGTCATATGCTTGTTTTTGCTCAAATCCATAATTATTTTCCTTTTCGAACTCAGTTGTGTCGCTTTTCAACAAGTTGAGACACCTTCGAAGTGTCGGTAATGCGATTGCACTTGGATCGGTTCTAATACTAAAACTACTGGCCTGAAAAATGTTGTTTCGGTATCAAACGAAAGAAGAAATTTTTTGCAATAACTGCAACTTAAAATCTCGGCCAGACGAGACTTCGTTTCTAAAGATACTAGAGTTAGGATGTAATGTGTTAATGAGGCCAACTCTGTCCTTGATCAGAGATACTTCTTTGTGAAGTGTATATATATGTTGAACAGTATTAGCATATATAATAACAATAATATACCGAGTTGCAAAAGTTCTGTCGCACCCTCCTTAAAAGTACAATAACTCATTTACTATTCAACATAGCTAAGATAAATTTGGTACACGAGATCTTTATTCATTTTCTGTTTATTCGGAGTGCGGCTTGTTTGTAATCCTCCCGTCAAGGCCATCTTACAGATGTTCTGTTGGGTTAAGGCTTGTTGGTCTTGCAGGCCAGTCCAGAACAACGATTTGATGGGTTTGGGAGGAGTTTTCACTGATCATAGCCATTTGTGGTCGGGCGTTGTCTTGTTAGCACGTTCCATCATTCGTGCCATGTCGGGCAGTCACCGTGACGAAGAATTTCGTCACAATACGGTCGTCTTTTGAGGTTGCTTTGAAAAGTAACCAAATGTGTACGATAAAGAGCGGAGATTCCACCCCATACTATCACATTTCAGCCACCGATTCGGGCCTCTTGGGGGACGTTGGATATGGGAAATCTCTATCCTCTTTTTTAAAACACTTTTTCCCTTCCATCAATACTACGAATGAAAAACCTTAACCATTGCTTAAAAGAACACTTTACCAACGTCTTTAGTTTCATTGCCAATGTTGTTGTGCCAAAATTTGGCGATTTGTTTGATGAAACAGGGTCAGAATGGCTCCACGCAAAGGGCGATAATCACGTAATCCACGATCTTATAAATGTCTAATAATCGTCTTTTGAGACAGCCCAAAGTACCTGACATTCTATGCAGTTAGTTGGAACGGGTTTCGTACATGGGTGTTGACAATAACCCAATTCTGACGTCGAGTTGTCGCCCTTGGTTGGCCTCGCCTAGGCTTGTCTTGGACAGTTCTAGTGGTGTTAAAACGTTTGTTCAAGCGTTAGATGATTCTTCTATGCACATTTATGTGTCTTGCAACAGAAGAAAGCTCAATTGGAGAATGTATCATACACACAGCCCTTTTGTTTTCTGAATTTATCAGTTTTTTATTTTGAAAAAACAGGTGAAAAAAGTACCCAACCCTTAAAAAGTACGGAATTTCGTAGTGTGTAAGGTGTGTTTACACATTGTCTACGTGATTAAAACAAATGCTGTGTGTAGGAAGCGTTGATTTCAAAGTAGGCCTAGAGTAGTCAATACCAGCACTTTGTCCATGCACTACTTCCGGTTTATGATTTCTTTCATCTGCTCTTGCACAAAGAGTCTCATAAGTCACACAAGTCGTACTTTTAATTTTTACTGCAATTCTTACCCTGTACCGAAAACACAAGTCGTACTTTTAATTTTTACTGCAATTCTTACCCTGTACCCAAAATTATCGTAATATAATGGGTGTGACAGAACTTTTGCAACTCAGTATATATTGCCAATAAACGGTGAAGAGTGTGAGGACCAAAACTTGTTTGCTCAAAAGCAGAGTTTGTGTGTGGTCTGTCTCTGCATGTAATCTGAATTTGCCCATGAATGGAATGTGTGTTACTCTGCTGGTCTGTAGGAGAAAAGTGTGATGCTTTAGCTCATGAAAAATGTACATCTATAATGCATGGGAATTTTGTGGTTCATGCGTCGTATGATGTAATTCTTTGAGCTTTGAACTTGCTTTGGACTATTGCAACAACCTGTGATGTATTGACCAAGTCAAAAACATATGATGACGGGGAGAAGAGTTTAGAGAAATTTGCATGATGCACAACATTTGTGCTGATGGATAGGTTATTTGTTTTGAATTTATAGCTTTGTAACTGTTTTATCGTAGCTGTGTATAAAGTGTTAAAGACTGGTGTAGGTGGTATTTCTTTACTTACCTGCCCATACCTATCTATTTGCAAAAAATGTCTTACCTTACATTTTGTGTTCACATTTGTCGGAATCTTGACTGGCATATGGCAGGTGGCAAATTTGTAACCTTTTTTCTCTCGCTGTCTAAGGCCTTTTTATCTTTAGCCCTCATTTGACCCTTGCAATGCAAATTATCTTTCCTAAAACCTTGTTTCTTATTGTTCAAGATTTCACAATGTCTGTATGCTTTCGCTCTGTTCACAAAAAAAGCTGGGGTTTTTTTTTCATTCTGTGTCATTTACTGTTCAGTGGCTTTGCATTCCATTACATGAAGTACAGCCATAGCGTTGAAAGACATGACAGTCTAGTGGCGTTGGGAAGTATGAACTGCGTGTGAATTTCTCCCAGTGCAACTAGATGTAAACATATTATTTTTATTTATTGCAGCGTGTTATGGTCTCTCTTATTCTTCTTTCTTTGTGCCAGCAATACAGGCAATAACCTTTACTGAACTGTGTCGTTGGTACTTTAACAAAAAATATTCTTATAGAGTCGGCTCATCTTGGGGATGTTTTATTATCTTGTACCAGTGTTTTTGTTTTATTAGTGTAGACATATTTTCCTTCGGCTCGAATTCGGGCCCAGAGGTCTCTTTACTTTATGTTTTGATACACACGATTCTGTCTGAATACTTTCCTCTCTAAAATGTGTGTAGTGCATGTATTTTGAACTTCCTGTAGGTTAAATATTGACCTATTCTTAAAGAATGTCTAACATGTTGCAAATAAAAAAGAGCGACATATTAGACATAATGACACACGCGTTTCACTTTCATAATCATTGTGATACAGTAATTCGTACTTCATTGTTCTTATATCACACATAATGTTGTGTTTCTCTGTATCTTCACTCTATTTCTTTGCTCTATCATAGCCCAATCATTTTTTAGGGATCAGATTTTGGAAGACAAAAATATCATATTTTGATCTTTACCTGTTTGCACGTTTATAATGGTTTTATACTCATTTTTATATCATAATTTAACTGGAAACTACTACTATGATTTGTCAGTTCCTGACTTCTCATAGAGAGGAATGGTGTTGAATGATTACATATAAACATGGATGAAAGGTCCTGGTTGTCCAGTTAAGGACAAAAGCTTTATAATGGGGTTTATCATTGCAGAAATGTTCATTAAAAATTAGTTTGCAGGTAACTTCTTCATACAAATAAAACCTCTCTTTTACCAAAGAATGACCTTGTTCCCTATTTTCTTTTAGATTGTTGAGCCTGGTGTTTGTACTCTCTATTTGAGTATTTGACAATTTGTTTTAGTTTGGAAGTGTGAACAGCTTTCTTGTGAAGCCTCGCAATGTGCTGAGAATTTAGTACATTGTACAGTAGAACGGTGCACGGCTATAGCGGGACTTTTGGTTCCAGAAGACAAATCCCGCTGAAGGCGAGTTCCCTCTCAAGGAATGCAAAAGGGAAATTACAGAAAAATTTTTAAAAATCCACCTGATTACATCCCTTTCATATCAATAAAATTTGTGCTTTAGATTAGTCTTCCTATTCTTGCCACTGACTGTAGTGTGTTTAGGCCATTCCCAAAGGGGTGACATTTCTCGTTCAAGCATAGTAGAATTGTAAATGGGCTGACTTGTGTCACACTCATAACTGCCTGATCTACAACAGGGAACTGCTGCTTTTTCTTTCCTGATCTTTACTATTGTCATTTTCCTCTACTTCTTTTGTATGTTTGTCACTCTCTTGTGACCTGCTAGTATAAGCGATATTGCATGTGAAAACATGTTTTTATGCTCTTTATCTGGTAGGTCCATGGCGTGTTGAAGAGCTTCCATAAGTTTTGTTTGTAAAGCAACTCGCGTTCCAACTGTCAGCCTGTACCTCAAATGGAAGGCGCTTTTTAGGTCAATATCACTTTGCAATCCTTTGGTAATTTAATTATCAACCATTTTCAGTTCGACATTTTGCACAGCTTTTAGTCAATGCAACTTCGAGTCTAAGCTCGTCCACTGGTTTGCTATTTTGCTGAAGAAAAAAAGGGAGATGATATTGATATTGAAATTTACTATGGGGATAGATCTGCTGAGTTTGAGTTGGACGATACAAAGTGATTGAAATAATGTGGTCATGCAACTTATTTGTGGATCATTTTGAGGTTCCCACTACTTGGGAAAGAAAATTCTCAGTCAAATTCCACAGTGTCTTATGTCTCGTTGAAACATTTAATCACCAATACCTATCCCTTTTGAATTGCTTGTAGTTGGTTGAAAGGCACTTGACTCCTTCAATTACCTATCAGTTGGGAACTCTGCTGTGGTTTGCTCCTTTTTTCTGGTGCCAAACAGCTATTGTAGGCCCCTACTTATCTCGGTCTTGTCTTTGTATGTTACTCTCTAGTAATACCTCTTATCTTCAGGCTCCCCCCGAGGCAGTGTCACTGACTGTAGTGTCTTTAGGCCATTCCCAAAGGGGGGACATTTCTCGTTCAAGCACAGTAGAATTGTAAATGGGCTGATTCATGTCACGCTCATAGTCATAACTGTGCCTGATCTACAACAGGGAACTGCTGCTTTTTCTTTCCTAATTCTTACTATTGTCATTTTCCTCTACTTCTTTTGTATGCACGTAACACTCTTGTGACCTGCTATTTCCGGGGTGCCTTGATAGTTGAAGCAGACCTTGTGCTGTTGAAGCTAGAACTAGAAAGGTTAGCAGAGTAAGTCTGATTCCCTGTAAAGACTTCTCTGTTGACACCAACCCCTTGGCGCTCATATGACCTTATGCAGTTGCGAGTGCCGTAAAACCCTCTACTATAATAATAATAATCTTCAGGACTTTCATGATTTGTATTGCAAGTGCTGCAAAACTTTTACTGAAACTGAAACAAAAAACTCCCTTTCAGTGTTTCTTTAATTTCTGTAATAGTCTGTTCTGTAAAAGGTGGTGAAATAAACATTTTGTGAGTAAATTACTCCACAACCTGATACAGTAAAGTAAGGCTTGTAGGTACTCTGCTCCCGTCTCATCACAAGGGAGGACGACCTGAGCACATTACTACAATGTCTCTTTCCCTCACAGTTGCTCAATACTCAAGTCAGTGAATGTCACAATCCTTATCTTGACCCAAACTAGTGATCCTCTCACAACATTTTCCTGTATTTATATACTCATTATTCATTCTCACTTTTAAAGCACTATATGAATATATGGCAGTTACAGTGTCAATGTGCTTCTCTTTAACCCCCCCCCCCCCAAATTTGTCGCCATCCATTAATTTAATTAAATTGCTCTCTTTTTTGGGGGGGTAAGTGTTTTATGAAGCTTGCAACTGAATAAGGTCTTATGAGCGCGCGGGACACACTAAATATTTTCAGTGGGTAGGAGATTTTGAATTTGACGAGGGTAGCGGCTGAAGCCTCATTGATTTTGGACCACCAAGGGATCTTAAACGTGTCCAACTTGCACACAGGACCTCCGAGATTTTTCACCCTTGTCCAAGAAGGCTAGGTGTTAGATCTTTCCTACTATAAGATCAGGGGTGTGAGAGGCTGAAACACAGCAGTAAGAAGGAACCAAGGAGTAGCAGTGGAAGAAAGGCTGCAGAAAGTGGAGACGAAAGCAGACGATAGAACATTGTTTGAGAGCAGGAAAGGATGTGAAAGGAGAAAATATAGAGAAGAAAATATTCCGCCGCTATCCGCATTCGAACCCAGGACCTATTGAATGAGAGGCAGACACCTTAACCTCTAGACCATAACAGCCCCCAAATCTCTCTCTTGATCAACACAAACCAAAACAAAACAATTAAAAAAACTCGACTGCTGGATGAGTAATGAATTGTATTTTCAAAATTTATTATCACATTTTCTCGTGCGGGTCAGATTTGTTCAAACACATTACTTTCACTGGCAGCCTTTCATTACACTACACTCTCCGGTCAGACACACATACATGAATCCGCAATCGGAAACAAAATTTAACATGTAATAACGAAAGCCATAATATTTTATAAAGAGAGAAAAATAAAAGTTTAGCTTCAAATTTTATTGGAGAAATAGCAAAGTGTCTTTCCTGCTCTGGGTATCCTTCCATTAGAATAGTCACTGCAAATGTAAGTCTACAAGTCCACTCTCTATGAGATTATCATCCTACATTTGAAAACTAGCAAGGTGTTATTTGTAATTATTACTTCACAGAACACTTTACAGCATGTCATTTTCCTGAAAAAGAATATGATTTTGAAAAAGAGCGACTTCCAAGTTCTGGATGTGTGGGATAGTGAAGAGTTGTAAAAACGTATTAAATTATTCATCAGACAAAAACAAAACATTTTTGTTCAAAGATATTAGACCATTAGGCCTATGACATGCGCAGACGCCATCAGTAAATCAATGATGTCACGTGCCTGGTTCAGAGACTCCGACTATCGGTATCCAAAAAAGAGTAAGAGAGTTAACGTCATACATTGCTGAGTTCCTCATCAACAGGCAGCTGTTGGACTTCAAAGTCAGAAGTTTGAAGTCCAGTATATTAACCATACGCTATACTATAATCAAATTTCACATACATAAAATAGAAGTAAAAGCATGTGGTAATTGCAAAGCTGTCTGTAAATAGGAAGAACTCTTGTCTGAGTAGATCCTCCACTATCAGAAGAATGAACAAGGAGAAAACGAAACTATATCTTTTCTGATATCCAAATGGCACCCCTGCAGCCCACTTTGATCACCTCAGTCAGTGCAGAATAGAAAGGAGCCTGAAAATAGACACACATACACATGTGAAGATCTTTGAGAATAGAACAGTGATTTCTGGAATTGCAGAAAACAAACTTTTTGCAGTCCAACAACAAAAATATGAGCAAGTGTAAAAACACTACTATCTTTTAACTGAAATCCATCAAGCTCTTAGCGCATTCCATAATTTCATATACTTGTCAGACCGGCTAACCCACAAAATAACAAATTCTTTAAAATTTCACGAATCGATAGTAAATTAGCCATGTCATATTTTCAGTCAAAGGTAGATCTTAATTTTGACTTGGAGTGCTCCTAAAACTTTAGAAATACAGCCAGTACCCAGGTTGCTGCATAATGAAACCAAATAAGGGTTTTGCTTCTACTGGGGTTTGTTGTTCCTGTCACAAGGACTAGTCCAAACAATAACTCTGGTCCTTATATCAAAATCTCACCAAAGTCTGCTCACTGTATTGAGTATTTTTATCTTTGTTACATCATTCACTAAAAATTAGAATAAGTGACCGAGGGAGGGCGGAGGGCATCTTACCTTCTCTGCATCATGCTCTAAGCCTGTGTCATGATGGTGCAGCTCATCATCTCGAAACTTCTTGACAATCTGCAAGGGGAATGTACCATGAGTAGGCTACAAGGTTAAAACAGTAAAAAAGACATGAAACAATGACATTGTGTGCAGCAAGACTCAAAAACGAGACACAAAAATAAGTACAGTCTAGCACACACACATAGAACAGCTTTTCAGATCCCTAATTAAATTCTTTTAAAATATTCTTTGCGTTAAAACACATAGCAAAATTTGTACATGTAGGCCTACATAACTAGATTTCCACATCCCTCGAATTTCATTACGTGCGTACTAGACTGGATGCAACAAAATGCCCTTGCAGAAAACATACAGATGTAGGTTACTCAAACTCAAAGCCTGTACACCATAGAAGACACGTCAACCCCAAATAGTCATACCTGTAGGCCATGTTCAGTAATATAAAAGAAAATCCATTGGGAAACCTTTAGTTTCTTATTCATAACGATCATTTTAAGATTTCCTTTTCAGTCCATTCCATTTGTCTACGTTCCCCATCCACATGTGTAATGTCATTTTCACCATTGTGAGTACATTACAAAGATAGAACCGCTGATTCAATGGTTCTACCAAAAAAAAAACAGAGCCTTATTGGGGGTAAAGAAAACTGCAAAAACAACCCTTGTGGAAAAAAACCCTGATAAGGAATAGAACCAGCATCCCTCCAGTGAAAGTCAAGTGTGATAATTGATAAAAACAACAGTGGCAACAACATTACACTCTTGAAGGTCTGCTGATTTACAATGCATGGTACAAGGAGTCTGATGGGTAAGGGGCAGGAAAATTAAAACAGTATGAAATTTAGTACAATACTAGCGCATTAAACAAAACAAGCCATCTCAAATTGGTACCATTTCTACATAACACCGCTGTTGCTGCAAAAAAAAATGAGTTACTCCATTTGACCTTACCTTACAGAATAAAATTATTGATGTCAAATACCTCAGGGGGAAACAGCATTGCAAATAATGAAAAAAAAAAATAATGACAGGATCTACTGCCTACTTAATCGCGCGTTCATATGGACTACTGCCATTCTTTATATTTACAAAAATGTAGGCCTACTTGACTACAGCCGTTTCTGTTTACATTGGTATTGAGGGACGAAATGGAACAAGCCAAACTAAAGATCATAACAGACAAGCCAGAAATTGAAAATTGTGACTATTGTCATTATTCCACTTGTAGCCTACTCTTTTTCTTGTGACATCCTTGAGGTGTTTCCAAGAGGCGGTAGACATAACAGTAACTGACCTCTAGTAATTCCTTGTGTTTTTCCGGATCATCCTCCATCAGCTCCCGGATCTGGCTGTTGTAGTGGTCACCTATCACATCCTCCACAGCCACCGTGCAGGCCATGGCTGCTTCCTTTCCTAACATGGCTGTGCTGGCTCCTGCAAACAAAGGCAAACTGTAAATGACGAATAAACTTCACACAAGTCACAAGACTAATATTATTTGGAAACCCCAAAACAAGACAGACAGTCCAAGAGCAGCCACATCGCCAGAGCCTGTACAGTTTAGACAAAAGCTTATGAGAACTGAGGGACACTTCCACTTCGGTGGACTACAAAATTTGAGAGGATGCCTGTCAGTGCCATAGAAAGAATTAGGAGGAAGAAGAAAACTGTTTTGGCAAAATACAGTGGAGTCTGCTGAAACCAAAATCTGCAAGACCGTCAGATTTTCTTTGTTTAAGCCGGGTTTTCAGTTTAGAATGATTGTTCAAACATTAGAGAAAAAATTGGGGATTCTATTTTCTTTCGGTTGACCAATATTTTCAAATTAATCGTGTTCGATTTTAGTGAACACCACTGTAGTTGATATGCAACCATAACACAAAGATCTGAAGGGTTATAATAAAGTTATAGATGAAGGGGGAAAAAGCAGTTGACTGAGGAGAATGAAGGAAGACTAAAATGTATTCAAAGATTTTTGTTTAAATAATGTATATGAAGTGCAGTTATCAGCTCTGAACACAAGGATCTGGATAGGAACGTCCTTGGAGTTGTGGTTTACTTCAGACAATATGACAACTGACAGATTTTTCTAGGAACAAACTAGACTTGGACAAAAGAAAGAAAAAGAAATATACATAGAAGGAGAGAACACCATAGTAGCCATCTGGGAGTATTTGACCTGTTAAAATGAATGCACTCCAGCACAGATAACTCAAACAAGTTAGGGGGTTGTCAAATCTGTTTGACACATCCATAATTTAGGTGCACATTGGATGCAAACCAACAGAGACCGAGTACATTTTGCCAAACTTAAGCACATCGGGCTGGCATAGTTTCATGATTCCAGCAAGGTCATGCCATGTGACGTCATTCTGGCTCCATATGAGGATGTGTCAAAGACATCTTTTAGAGTTGGCAGAGGATATGTGATGTCATTTCTTTCCTTCCCAAAGCTTCTGACCACCCACCCATCCTTATCATAATTCATTCAACTCAACAAAGTTGTTTTTTTCTTGTATGTGTAAACATGTTTGTGCCAGTTCTTCTTCTTGCAGTTTGGTTGCAATTGAAGAAAATCACTTTTAAGGGTGATGAGTTACATAATGGAAAATGATGTAGGCTATCTAAAATTGAACAAGATTAAGTATGTATTTTCCATTCAGCATAAACAAATTTCTCACCAAGAACAAATCCAGCAACATTCCACAAAGGCAGAAGAGCTGTAGGTCTGACTCTCCTCTCTGCCATAAGTCTGTCAAAGGTAGCTTTGTGATATTTCTCCTCCTCCCACATTTCCTTTTGGAGACAATATTTCATACCATTTATCAATAAAGCCGGCAACATATTTTACATTTCATAAATAATTGTAAAAGGGCCATAAGAAAGTAAAAACCTACACATATTAAAGGATTCTGATCACACAGGATGCAGTTTAATAAGAGATCACACGAAAACACTTTCTCTCTGCTCTGTCATTTATAAAATAATTCAGCTCGGCTGAACAATCTTCAAATATATGTATTAAATTCGCCTGAATGTTAAGTATCAAGTTGAAAAAAATAAACATTTCTGATAATATTAAATGAAAAATAGACCCACAACACTAACTACTGTCGTCATGTCATCAATTCACCGGAAGCAAATGAACATTTGATGGTGATGCAAAGTGGGCATGTGTGAGACACAAATAAATTCTTTTGTGTGAGATGACTTATCATGGAATCTATATCACGTGTTAATATTTTTATCCCAGCAAAAGTAATAGAAATGTTGTAAATACCTACAGTTTAGCACACACACACACAGCAAAACATGCACATGGCAAACAGATTTAGCAACATTTTTACACAACAAAAAGTTGTCAGTGTTCTGACTGTTTCACTAACTGCACACTGGACTGTATAAAATTCTATGAAAAAGATTATTTGAAGCATTAAAAAGGCATCAGAAAGTTGTTTCTGTCTTTAGCAAAATCACCTTTTCAAGAGTCAGCAAATATGTGACGTACATGACAACCAATAGCCTACAACCTATCTTTAAAAAAAAATTGCTTGTTTTACTGGTCTAGGATGCCATTATTTTATCTCTTGTTAATATTTACCTTTACTCAAAATGTCCAGCTTACCTTTATCAAAGGCCCCACAGGTGTTTTACCAAGGACTGCATGTTGACCAGCATAGATTCTATCAGCCCCAAGCTCTCCAGCATGATCGACACGAATTATTTTGTCAATCAAAGCCCTAGTCCTGGCATCTTTTACTGCAGTACTGGCAAAACGCTTGCATATATGGGAGGAGTTCATCAGGGGACGCAACATGTTTGACATGCTGCAAGTCAGAAAAAAAATAAAATTATACAGTAAGACAAATAAATAGGGCCTAGACAGTCATTGTGATGTAATGTGAAAATGTCCCAAACACAAGAGACAAAATTGGCAGGGAACTGAACTTTGGCATTAATGCATACCTATTTGAAGCTATCCTCCCAATGTCCAATTGTATGGGTTGACTATAATTATAAGAGTAATAACTGTGTTAGGAAATCTATCTCCAGCAACTCTGTTGAGTATATTGTTGTGGCTCAAAAGTCTTGCATAACATTGGGAAGTAGGCCTGATCATTACTGTAATGCCTGCAAACCATCCTGGAAAAAAAATGTTACTGTACCTGGGGCCCCAGCTATATTTAACTTTAACAGGACCGCCAGGACAAACACGATATCCCTGTTACAGCCAAACCTTGTCATAGGCAGGGATCAAGTTACACTGTTACTCATGATTAACCAAAGGGATCCCTTTTATCACATAGAATACCCACAATCCATTTAACAGTTATTGCTATCCTCTTTTTTCGGTAATATTTTCTCTTCTCCTCATCTTTATCTTTATCCTAGTAGCTTAAGCTCATAGAGGATGCCTAGACATAATTTGAGCAGGCAATTATATAGCAATAAAGCTTGCATCTATCCCGACACATATTCATGCTCTACAATCTACAGCATGTTTGATGCGCTTTCAACTGCGTGTAATTGAATAGTTACCACATTTTGGAAAAAGAGCACACATAAATCTGAGTTAGATCTAATCTAGAGTGAAGTGCTTACTTTTAATTTAATTATTTATTCCCGTACGTCTCGCAACCCAGCAAAAAGACAACGTGACAAAGCGGTGCCAGACCAAGGTCACGCTATTTTCACAAAGTGGACTTGCATCAACATCAAAGTGTGTCAAATTTCCCCCTCCCTCCGCAGCCCACAATAAGGTATGACACATCATAAAATGTGTACACAATTAACTCAGCCCAACTGTAAGTCGAATAGTTGCGCAACTCACCCTCAATGTTGGCTACTGTTTGCTTAAAATTCACTTTATAGTGCTTTCTTGTACCTTTGTGTTAGGATTTTGTTGATGGTTGAACCATTGTTATAGCCTAGCATGTCTGCCTGAATGCCTGATACAAAAAATAACGTTTATATTACTATACATTATAAGAAATCAGACTCTGGAATTTATTATAGCATGCTATTGCTGAAATCCTTTTATAACCGACACTGTTATAAATGGGTCTAAACAGCAATCTTCTTGAACACGGCGTCACTTTTCGCCCGATTCTGTTACTTTTAGTTAACGTGACTCAGCAGCCCGCTGGAGCTCCTCGGCTCGGGGTCACGGGGTTAATGAGCCCTGAAGCGACTTTGAGTACTTTGACGGTGTCGGTCAGGAATTTCACATTTTTGACTATGTTTAAAACGATATAACTTCTTCCCCATCCCACATAGCAAACCATTACGAGGATGTACTAAAAGGTCAATGTCTTGAGATTTATTCTGCGTTAGAATGGTTAATTTCTGTACCTTAGTTTTTGTTCTAGACAAGTGTTTGTAGAGTACTCAATTTGTCCTATTTTAGTTTACAAACTTATGAATAAATGATAGTTAATTTTAAAAAGGCTCGATAGATCTCTCCAAAATCTGTGTTAAACTGACTACGAATATCAAGTCTTTTACCATGAGAAATCTTAAATCTGCGCGAGTAGTAATAGTCAAGTTATAAGAGAAGAAAGATGCACATCTGCATTTTTTAACTAAAGACGATCGGCGTTAGCTCTTATTTTACTATTAAACAAGAGAAAGTTACTCTGCGTTTGTTCATGAATCATGCTGTGTCTGTGGCAGCCTACATACAACTAAAAAGATATAATATAAGCGATAAAAACCCCCCACAAAACCGTGTAAATACAAGGGTAGAGATAAACTTCTTGTATGGAATAAAAATAATGACAGCTAACACATTCATTCTTAGTTTTTGTGTCGGAAATATGCGCGGACACAATTATGAATGTAAAGAAATCAGTCACATTGTCAGTTATTGCAAATGGTCATAGAAACGAAAAATAAAGCTGGAAAAGTCTGGTGCTGATTCAGTGTCCCTGGAAAGCTAGAAATTATTCTTATAACCGAATTACGAGAAGTCATCCCTGTTATTCAGTCAACTTACAAAACCTAGACTTAGCGTTTTAAGAAAAGTAAGGAATTTCTGGAGTGTAACAGAAACTGTTCGTGTATTAGATCTACATTGAAGAAGTATTCTAGCACTAAAATTGATTTGTACTTTTTATAGAGAAACTTCATGGTAACTTTTATAAACTTTCAAGAAAATATGTGAATATTCACGATTATATAAGACACATAAAGTTGTGCTTGGAGGAATTAGCCTACTTCATAGCGAATTGTGTACCCGATGGATAAAATTGCAAAATTACAGCTTTGTATTATATGCGCAGATACCATCTTTTCTGAGTATCTGCACCAATGCTATGTCGTTCATGTTCCAAAACTTCGACAGATTTAGACGAGATTTAGATCTAACAAAATAACGAGACAAGTTACAACGTCCGTTCTTTTTTGAGTCTCAAGAGCAGAAATGCATGCTTTGCCTGCACTAAATGAGAATTACCATAAATACAAGGATACACCTTGAATTGTACGTTGAAAAGTACCAAAAATTAAGTCGGCCCAGACAGAGCGGCGACAGGGAGCTAACCCCTGTGACCCCGACGTGATAAGGTGCCCGGCGGGGAACCCCCTGCGGCAACTAAAATTCCACTGCCGGTGCGCCTTGTGGGAAGCAGGCCTTGGTTATGAATGTACTACTAATAACTGAATTTTCAAGGGGGAGGTAGGACTTTTAACTTCAACAAGGATAAATAATGATCCTGCCCCCCCCCCCCCCTTAACCATACACATGCACACGTGGGTGCTTCTACTGAATATGGTGATTTTGTTAAGTTAGAAAGTGAGAACATGGGCAGTGGTCAACCATCAATGTTATGCACTGTGGAAGAGACTTTAACTTCTCCTCTCAGAATCTTGAAAGAAGGTGACTTTTGGCAAGAGGGTATGAACTGTAGACCTACTAAGCGTAGTGCATTTTTGGTCGGGGCAATGTATTTTTTGAGGAGATAAATAAGAGAGAAGGGATGCTGCACTTAAAATCATATTCATAGAGGCTAGCATCGGTGTTCACAGTTTTTGAATCCTCAAGAAAACAAGATTCCTTTGGAAAATTTGGCAGAAATTCCTTACTGAGTGACCACGATGAAATAGAAGGTTTGGGTTTGGGCTAGGGAGTCTCTTCTTTATTTATATAGTGTCGGTGGGGTGGTAGCTCTTTACGAAAGTCCTTCCGAAAATGTATCATGAACGTAGTTATTCAAATTTTTATGTGTATACCTCTGCATGTGCTTTTACGGTTCTGTACAGCTAAGAAAAATTTCCCTCTGGGATAATAAGTATTATTTTATCTTATATCTATCTTAGTTTACAGAGGGCGAAGCAGGTACAGTAGAAAAAACAGTAGGGATCGACAAGGCCTCGCCCGCTCAGCGTGCGGAATATGACTTTGATCCTCTTACTGTGTACGGACAGGGCAACACTCAACAATTTGAAAATAGAAGTTGTCGAAAAAAACAAGGAAGAGGGGCGCAAAAAAGAAGCAAAAGGGAAAAGGGTAAGGGGTGAAGTGAGCAAGACAAAATCATCATTCTTAAAAATCGGTGCGTCTACGTTCAAGGTAACCGGGCACCTAGCCTCTGTGTCTACGTACACTGTAACCGGCAACCGGGCACGTAGTCTCAGTGTCATGTACACGGTAACCTGGCATATAGCCATAAATATCTACGTACACGGTAACCGGCAACCGGGCACGTAGTCTCAGTGTCATGTACACGGTAACCTGGCATATAGCCATAAATATCTACGTACACGGTAACCGGCAACCGGGCACGTAGTCTCAGTGTCACGTACACAGTAACCGGGCTGTTCAGAACAGTTTTTGTCATCCGGTGTTGCCTTCATCCCCACCCCTCCCCCCACTGTACCTTTAAAAAAAAAAAATCAATAATCCCCCCATTCCGAAACCCTATATTTTGCAGCGCACAGACTTTGAATGAACTTTGTTGACCCCAACCGGTACTCACAATGTGATGTCTACATACAGGTTCACTGACCGGTCACGACGGCGAGCCCGACAAGACGCCTGTATGACTTTTTTTTTTTCAGCAAGTGACAGCACAGGACAAATATTGATTTATATTAATTCCGGTTACCGTGTACGTAGATACTGAGACTAGGTGCCCGGTTACCGTGTACGTAGATATTGAGACTAGGTGCCTGATTACCGTGTACGTAGATACTGAGACTAGGTGAGACTAGGTGCCCGGTTACCGTGTACGTAGACACTTCGAATTGCAAACTACATTCCGGGCACGTTGGCCGTGAACGTAGCCAGCAAACTACGTCACGTTCATCAAGTTCATGGTGCCTTGAATGTTAGGCCTATACTATAGGCCTAATAGTAGTATAAGTATAGATAGATCTAGATTAGTCACTGAGGCTCAGGTAAAAAAAAACGGTGCTTATTTGGTAGTTCCCACCCCACAATTGTTACTAGTAGGTTTTGCCCCTAAGAGTTGGGGGGTTTCAGGGGGGCTTGCCCCCCTGACCCTAACAAAAATAAGGTGGGGGGTTTCAGGGGGGATTTTACCATAATTTGATGTTTTTCAGTTGTTAGGTTTGATATCTTAGTTCGCTACGCATCAAACGTATAGATCTAACTGTAGATCTAGATCTAGGCTCAAATAAAAGGAATAAGGGGGGGGGGGAACTACTAAAAAAACACCAAAAAGGCCACCTCTGTTCTCACCCCGGGGTGAGAATGGCGCAGGCGAGTCTTTAGGTTATTCTCACCCAGTGGGCGTTCACCGTTATAGCCTCGGCCAACCAGTGAAGCGTTCACCTTGAACCACAGAATTCTACACTGTGATAACAGAATTATAGAATTCTGTGCTGTGAACAAACGTTCTAGATCTTTTAGATCTATTACTACTGTTAGTGTTAGCCTAAAAGCGTGCAATTTTGTCTGTTGGGCAGTGGAGAGAGAGAAAGAGAGAGAGAGAGAGAGGAGTAGCGCGAGAACTTCCCGGCAAAACAAAATGGCGACCCGCGTAGTTCTGCTCGATTCCGAAAGTTAAATAGCCGTAGCATCTTTTAGACAACCAAATTAATTTAGTTTTGTTTTTTAACATCATTTTTAAACTTTGGTCAATTTGATCGTCCACACCGATAGACAGTATTCAGAAAGAAACAGAGAGAGAGAGAGAGAGAGAGAGGAGGAGTAGATCTAGATCTTGCGAGAACTTCCGGGCAAAACAAAATGGCGGCCCGTGTAGTTCGGCTCGTTTCGAAAAGTGAAATAGCCATAGCATCTTTGAAGACGATCAAATTAGCACTTTTGTGCTATAACGTAATTTTTTCTTGGCTTTTATCAATTTGATCATCCACACTGATAGACAGTCAAAATGAGGAAAAACAGGTCTTGTTTCACACCGGGTGAGAATAGCCTACGCTGGAAAGTCTCACCCGGGGTGAGAAGTAGATAGTATTTTATTTTTATTCTCACCCCGGGGGAGCATAGCCACTTCCATTTTTATTCTCACCCCGGGTGAGAATAGCCACTTCCCACAAAAAAGGCCACCTCTATTCTCACCCGGGATGAGAATAGTGCAGGCGAGTCTTTTGGCTATTCTCACCCGGTGCGCGTTCACCGTTATAGCCTAGATCTAGGCCAACAAATTTTGCGTTCACCCTAAACCACAGAATTCTACACTGCGATAACAGAAACATTGTAGAATTCTGTGCCGTGAACAAACGTTCCATTACAACTGTAGCCTAGCCTACTAAAAGCGTACCATTTTGTCTGTGGGCAGTGGAGAGAGAGAAAGATAGAGAGAGAGGAGTAGCGCGAGAACTTCCGGTCAAAACAAAATGGCGACCCGCGTAGTTCGGCTCGATTCGAAAAGTTAAATAGCTTTAGCATCTTTGTAGACAACCAAATTAATTTACTTTTGTGTTTTAACATCATTTTTTAACTTTGTTTTGGTCAATTTGATCGTCCACACCGATAGACAGTATTCAGAAAGAGACAGAGAGAGAGAGATAGGGGAGGAGTAGATCTTGCGAGAACTTCCGGGCAAAAAAAAATGGCGACCCGCGTAGTTCGGCTCGATTCGAACAGTGAAATAGCCATAGCATCTTTGAAGACGATCAAATTAGCTTACTTTTGTGCTATAACGTAATTTTTTCTTGGCTTTTATCAATTGGATCATCCACACCGATAGACAGTATTCCAAAATGAGGAAAAGCAGGTCTTGTTTCGCACCGGGTGAGAATAGCCTACGCTGGCAATTCTCACCTGGGGTGAGAGGTAGATCGTTTTTCTATTGAATTCTCACCCCGGATGAGAATAGCCACTTCCCACAAAAAAACCCATCAGCTGCAAAAAATAAGAGGCCCGATACTAGATTCTATATCTACTCGGTACCTGTTTATATTCTAAATAATAGAGATCTAAAAATCAAATCCTATTATTAGAGTTAATCTAGAGATTTAACAAACTTTAGAGGCCTCTCTTACATACATAATAATTTTGTTGTTGTTGTTGTTTGGTGCGCAGTACGCTGCACTGCATTGCCCATCAAGCCTAATCAAAATTGAACTAGATCTAGATCTAGATCTAGATCTAGAATCTAATTCAGACCTGACAAATGAACCTTTGGAGAAACTTCTCGTCACTTACCAATCAGCTCTTGGCTTACTGAAATCTAGAAACTCGGTGAACAAATGTGAAGAAATGTTCAAAGTGTTTTCATAACTTGACAGGGCGCGGCCATGTTGAAAGGTCACGGTCAATAATTATTGGATCAGTGCGTACGCGTAGTTCATCACGTACGTTTCTTTATATCAATATATCCACAGAGTATGATTTTAAGAACGTATTTAAATATATGAAGAAATCATATATAAAATTTGCTTTAGATAAATATAAATATTATTTTTACATAGAAATAATCAGGGCTACAAAAATAAAAGATAACACATCCAGTCCAAATTTGTCCATCAGCTGTTCATGTAAACATTGTTATTGTCTGCTGCTGCTATGAACAAACGACAAGATTTTAATATACAACTTAATTCAAGTGCTCGAATCCCCTGGTCGTCGTACAATTTTCACATGTTGAAATTCATAGTTCAAGCAGAAGATCAAAACATTTATTTGGTATACTTATAACAGTAAAAGACGAAAAAAAAACCTCTTCTGCAAGGCATGCTGAAGTCGATGAACCAATTGTTGATGAACGCTCATTCGTTTGATTCAGAGCATATGAGATCGTGCAAGAGAATTGATTGGAATGAGGCAAGTAAAGATACAGAAAATAGCCCCCCCCCCCAAAAAAAAAAAGACAAAAAAGAACAGAAATCAATGAATTAACCCACCCCTGCAGCGTAAATCCCAAAATAATATAGAGCATGGTCATTGTAATAGTTAGCCTACACGTAGTTATTCAGGAAATAGTTTAAAAATTGATGCATCTTTCACAAAATGTTATGGGTGGAAGCAATTGAAAACAGGGAAGGACAATAATCTTGTTATGTTCCATACACAACAACTGTGACACAGGTTGTTTCTATATAAGATTTTGGAGTTTAACTTGTGTGAGAGGAGCATTTGGGGGAGGGGGGCACTCATGACAGAGAAACTATGATTGATAAAAGCTAAAGCCTTAAATATAGGTCTTAATTTTGCTATATTAGGTTGATAATGTCGAGTGAAAGCAGCTTATTTTCTGCCCGCACCCCCTCACCTCCTTTGCCCCGTCCTCGAGGCTCCTATGACTCTTTCTGCAGCCTAATTTCTACTGATCTCTTTTGGCTTCTTCTTAAATTTCTGCTGTCTCTCAGCCTCACCCCTGATCTTATGGTAGGAAAGATCTACACCTAGCCTTCCTGGACAAAGGCAAAAATCTCAGAGGTCCCGTAAAGATCCCTTGGTGGTCTAAAAATTGATAAGGGTAGGCTTCGGCTACCACCAGGTCAAAATTCAAAACCTACCAACTGAAAATGTTTGGTGTGTCCTGCACGCTCATTTATGACCTTATGCAGTTGCAAGCGCCATAAAACACTAACCCCCCCCCCCCCTAATAAAGAAGAGGACACAATTGGGGTCAGTAAGAACGCTTGTCCAAAACAGCATTAAAGGACAGAAATTACTTGTCGATGGGCTGTACTCCGCCAAGGATGAAAAGCGTTGATAAGCGATTACGTACTGTTATATTTGGCTGTATTTACTATTTTCTCTACAAACTGTATTATGCTGTTGGCAGTCAAAGCATATCATGCATGAACTCAGAAACCAAAGTAACCTAAGCTAGTTAAATCACTTTCTTCATGCTATTGGGCAAAAAATGAATGAAAAATGTTGTGCTAACTTAACTCTTTCATTACCGCGAGCTGTGCTTCATGGCTCTTGTTACTGCCAATGCTAGACCGCAAACCATGTTTCACGGCTCTCCACTACTGCTTCAAAACCAGTCCTACTTTTGTAAAAATTGAAACTGACATCTGGAAGAATGATAATATTTAGCAACATGTTGAGATAAGTCATTATGTCCTTTTAATTTCATATTCATGTGGCTAATATTGAAAATTGAACTAACAATTTTTAATTTATCTAAGGGCAGGGAGAATCAGAAAGTAGGTCACAGATTGTGCCCGGTCCAGGTGAGTAAAAAACCCAGGTAGTGAAAGAGTTAAGAATCCCTTTCTCCTTTTTTTTCTTTTTTCTTCTCCCTATATTTTGTTTTTCTTTTCTTTTTATACATATATACTTTTCAATCTGACAAAGATGACAGTATGTCAGCAGATATCAACACTAGCAAAAGATATGAAATGACAAGGTGTCTTGAATATAACATTGACCACCAGTCTCTCCAGTGCTTTCAAACAATACGATGAACCCTTACAAAGAAAGGAAATTTTCTCCACTAACCGATGTGTACTACCTACTTGTAACCTTAAAGCAAACTGCTTTTCACTCTTTTACAAATTTATATAGGCTACTTATTGTTTACAGCATATTCACAGACTAATGTATACCATTCTAATAGTACATGGGGTGATCATAATAATAATAATGTACTATCTGGTATGATCATCATAAGCAATAATGTGTAGCTACAGATTATCATACACTGTATTTCAAAGTGGGAAGTATGGCTCACAGAAATCAGAGGTCTTTTTGATCAATTTCTGTCAAACCATCATTTGAAGTAAACGCTCATTTTGAAAAGATCTCATGTATCTCTGCAATTTTCTTTTTAAATTTGAGTGACTAACTAATTCTCATTTTCAACTGTTGATCTATTTGTACAGATAGGAATCCTGTCAAATGAATGTCTGTCAATTGATGATTTGATCTACTACAAGCTGAAGGACAATTGGAACTTTGAAAGACAGGGACATAGTCCTGTTTTGGAGAAACAAAAAACTCATCTGTTTTAGCTGTACAGTTGCCTTTAGATCACTGAAAATGTGAGTACCAGTGTCTCTTTTTTCCAAATTTCCAATATTGGTGTGTTGAATTTTTAAGTTCAATAATTTATGTAAGCAAGTAATTATTCTCCGGCATTGCGCTGGTCGATAGATCGATGGCTATTCTCTGGCATCACTTATAGTTGCACATGTCACTTCTCCAAAGCTTTCCATCTCCCCTGTCATCACATGGCCATTATTGTTGCAAATGTGTTCAGTGCCAGATGCACTGCCTTGTACTTCTGGTTGCGATTGAGGGTTGTTGGCGCTTATGTTGCTGTCACTTTTGAGATAAAAATTCCTCCTTCTTCTGTCACTGGAGTTTTCATTGAATAGTGGCTACGTGTCCACCTTTGGTGAATTGCATTCTGAAGAAATGCCGACCCTGATAAGTGTTTGTGTAAGGCCATAACGTGCCGACAGGGGAGATGAAAAGCTGCGGAGAAGCGACATGTGCAATTATACGGGATGCTGGAGAATAGCCATTGATCTATTGACCGGCACAATGCTGGAGAATAGCCACTTGCTTTCTGAAAATTGTTAGTGTCCTTTCTTTTTTGTTTGTTGTAACTTTTGATCGACACCATCACTTTCAGTATTTTCTCTGTCACTGTGTCCATGTTATTCACATTCCCATAAAATAATGCCCCAGGGAGCAATATTCTTGATGATCAGTGTGCTTCATGTTTGCATGTGAACATTTTCTGTGGGTCCTAGAGATTTTGTGGTTGTTATAGGGTGTTATTCACAAGACAGATATTGATGGTATGTGTGTATGAGATAACAGCATGGCAGGAAATAATGGGTTTACAGGCGCAAGATTCGCTGGAGTGGTGACAAAATCCACAGCATCAAGTATGTATATGCAACAGTTTCAAAAAATGTCAAATTGTGACTTGAATGACAAGTGACATCTTTGAAAGTTTTTTCCATTCATGATAAAGATAAAGAAGCTTTGATTCTATATTTATTTAATTAAATTATGCACGGTAGTACCAGCACCTTGACAAACTCTCTCTCTATCTTAGTGCC